CGATTCCTCTCCAAGACACAGGCCTGTGCATAACGTTCTCCCACGCGTCTATAGGCACGTTGACGTTCATCACTATGGGAAATGTTAAACCTGGATTCATCTGTAAAAAACAACATTTCTCCACCAAAACAAGGGCCTGCGGACATGATTTCGGCACCACATTCGGCGAGCTTGTCGATGACGTTGTGTCAGGATAGGCCGTATGGCGGGACGTCGTGGTCTGATCCCGTGATGACGTAAACGTTGTCGAACTGTGTTGGGGTGAATACGGCTAAGTCCTGGGAAGGTTCGGGCAGTCATCACTGCAGTCTGAAACCTGTGGCGAAGGTGGGTCACCCTTATCCGTCTGTCCTGTCTTGACGTTGTTACACGTGGACGTCCAGAACGTGGCCGATCGATGACGTCATTTGTGTTCTGGTATCGTCTCACCAGTGCAGAAATGGTGTTCCGGTGGCAGTGGAAATGTGCAGCCACTTGTCGGGGGTTGTGAGTGAGGGTGGGTGTGAGGATAGAAGGGTGAGTATGTGGGTGAGTTTGACGCATGCATGAATGTACTTATGTGTGCAAGAATTGTGATGTATGTGCAATATACATTTTTATTAATCTTAATATAATATGTTTCTTCTTCTTCTCCTTCTTCTTCTCCTTCTTCTTCTTCTCCTCCTTCTTCTTCTTCTCTTCTTCTTCTTCTTCTTCTCTTCTTCTTCTTCTTCTTCTTCTTCTTCTTCTTCTTCTTCTTCTTCTTCTTCTTCTTCTTCTCCTTCTTCTTCTTCTTCTTCTTCTTCTTCTTCTCCTTCTTCTTCTTCTCCTTCTTCTTCTTCTTCTTCTCCTTCTTCTTCTCCTTCTTCTTCTCCTTCTTCTTCTTCTCCTTCTTCTTCTTCTTCTTCTTCTTCTTCTTCTTCTTCTTATCTTGTAGAATCTCTCAGTGTTAGCCAATCATTAGTATGACACTTCCCACCCTCCAGGAATCCTGGCCGCTGTGGAATTACCCACGGAAGGTACCAGGTTACTATAAACAAACAAGGTTTACGCCCACCTGTTCGTTTACCCAGCACACAACTGGGATACAGCAGACAATGAGGATGTAGTTTACAGACAAGTATCGTGATTCAGATTAATAGTATTAAATGCATGAAAATGGTGCAAATTGTACATTTCATCACTTTACTCAGATAAGTTGTACAGTCGAGAAGAAGATTTACAGTACATTAACAAACAAAGGGGACAGGGTACTCACATTTGTCTGACAAACAGGGAAGTAATTAAGCTGGTGGCATAATGGAAACCTGTCCGCTTGCATTACAACATGAGCCTTAATGTCAAAGGCTTCAGCCTTTGTGGATATAAAAAAAATGAGATCCCAGTATTTCACACAAAGGGAAATTCAGTGGTCATCTTGTAATATGAACATATAAAACTGATTATATACATACCCTTGATATCAGGAATGATACGTAAGTTTCTAAAGAATGAAACCATTTGCAAATTTACAAATGTTTCCCCACTTAAGGAAATATTCATATTTTCAACCCTGGTAAACTTAGAAAAGATGCAATAATTTCAGCACCTTTTACAGGAATGTATTGGAAATAATCAATAATCAAGCATTTACTGGGATATCAACTATTGACTTCATGCTTGATAATGTCTGAAAATCCGGACATGAGCATGGTGCAAGTACTTATGACAATATACCATGAGCATTTGTTTTAAAGGTGCAGTTTCATATGCGAGCAAATACATCGCTTGCAGTTGATTCAGAACGCAGCAGCACGAATGATCCTGCGTGTTCACAAGTACAATCACTTCACTTAAAGAATCTTCACATGCTCCCAGTTTCATCATGGATTCATTTTACGATTCTTCTATACACCTACACGTGCTACAACAATCTAGCCCCGGCCTACTTGTGTGACCTTGTGAAATCTTGTATAAGCACATCTCCAAGGTCTCTAAGATCCCAAAATATACATCTACTGACTGTTCCATCTGTAAGAACGAGTACCTTTGGAGAAAGGGCTTTCCGATTTGCTGCTCCCACACTGTGGAATCAACTTCCAGAACATATTAAACCTAATGTGACAACATTCAAAAGCAGGCTCAATATTCATCTCTTCAGCGATGCCTTCCAATGCCCAAATTGCTAGCGCACAGAGAGAAACAGACCGTGATTGCAGCGCATTCAAAGAGTAAATCATCTTCATGATCATAATTAAACAAACACCCAAAGTTAGGAAATATCGAGGAACGTACGCAAATCCGGCCATAGCATGTATTTCCTACAGTACTGTATCCATGTATATTTCAGTGGTGTGCTATCCGGCTTTTGGTCCAGTGACATAAGTAGTCCCACCATAACCAAACAGCAGCGCCAACACATAATGTTCTGCTTTCACCATTGAGGAATGCAACGTTCAAAAAATGTGGTAACGTTTTTCCCATTAAGATGTTGTTTCCGATTCAGTAAAATATTTAAACATCTTAATGGGAAAAACTTTACCACATTTTTTTAATGTAGATTCACAGTTGTATAAGAACATATGTTATGAGTTATGTTGACGGTGCTTTTGTTATCGTCTTGATAATCGTTATTTTAATGCAATGGGTGAGTGAGTGAGTTGGTTTTACGCCGCATTTAGCAATATTCCACCTATATCACGTGTTATAGTCTTGCTAATGTTATTAAATGAAATAATACATAAGTCAATGTCATACTTTGTTTTATATATGTTGATATAAGCTTGCTAATGTTATAATGAAACGAACTAAAACATAAAAGTCAACATCATACTGTGTTTTATATACGGTGCCGTTTTAGCTCAGAAATCAGTAGCCGTTTTCGCCAATACGGTGCCGTTTTCGCCAAACAATTTAGGTGCCGTTCTGCTGTGGGGCCGTTTTAGCTATAACCCGTTTTCACAGTCTGATTGTAACATATACCTGTCGAACATACCTGTCAGCCATAATGCATTTACTGTGTATCCGATGTTTACTGGGTTTCCGATTCAGTAAAATATTTTAACATCTTAATGGGAAAAACGTTACCACATTTTTTAAAGTAGATTCACCGTTGTGTTATGTGTTATGTTGACGGTGCTTTTGTTATCGTCTTGATAATCTTGTTATTTTAATGCAATTTGGCGGGATGCTTATATTTCCCATGAATGTGTTTTCATGAATTGCAGCAATTCACTAAACGATTGGTCAGTGGATAATCGCACATCTTGACCGTAGTTGTGACAGAGACAGGTCACCATCCTTGAACAAACTCCAAAGTTCAAATACCTCCTCCTGCCTAGCTGTTGATGATTTGCGGATGTACGCCTTCAGCCTTCCTTCTTGTATAAGCCTTGTCTGGAGGGGTAGGAGGCTGGCCTCACGATGGAGCTCTGGGAGCACAATTGGTGCCCATGGGGGTGCTTACTTCTTGGCGAAATGTTTTACCTACGAATTTCACAAAGATGTTATCAATGAGAAAGTCCAACATTTCACATATTGTTTTCTCGGTAAACTTCAAATGACATTTGCTTTAATTTTTGACAATTTTTCCCGAACCTCTGAAGATAGATATGTTGGTATATCATTGTTCACCACGTTTTTACAAACGCCCCATGAATGAAGGAATCAAGTTTTTCCTTAAGTTGAAAAATGAAATGTTTTCACAGAACGGAACTCGGTCCGTTTCTAACTTTGGAAGCAACTCACTGTTGTTAGTATACTCGGTGTTATGGAGTTTACTCGGTGTTTTAAGCTGGATCTTGCCACACAGTTATAACATGTTATCCACCGTCGAATATCCCTTCCCGCCTGGTTTTCATCAATAACAATGTCAGATTCCAGTGGTAATAGAAACTACAGAAGCATTCGTACTATTGTAGTTTGTACAAATTTAAAATGATTACAGCAAATAATAAACAGTAAGAAAATTTTCTCTGCTTTTCATATACTTTCAAATCTATTTTTGTCAATACTGTTTTAAAGATTAAAAATGAAACATTTGAAGATTATGTTTAGTGTACCAAAAATACCTTATGTTTCCTATAAGAACCACTGTACGGAAGGGCACGGGATGGACTAGTGATAAAAAAGGTCACTCGTCACGCCCAGACCTGACTTCGAGTCCCCACATGGGTACAATGTGTGACGCGGTGGTATTGCTTGAATATTCCAAAACGTGGCATACAGCCATACTGAGACAATGTCAGAGCAATGTTGAAGTTCAGCTTAGTACATTTATGGTCAGGTACTGAAAATTGGCTGTACGAGTGTAATCCATCTGCGGTTACAGTGTCCCCTCTTCCGTTGATTGTTTATAATAAACTGTTCCCTGTGTGTAGTGGGCAGCTGATGATATACCGCGGATGATGGAGACGGAATATGACTGCAGCCATAGTGAGTGAGTGAGTTTAGTTTTACGCCGCACTCAGTAATATTACAGCTATATGGCAGCGGTCTGTAAATAATCAAGTCTGGACCAGACAATCAAGTGATCAACAACATGAGCATCGGTCTGCGCAATGGGAACCCATGACATGTGTCAACCAAGCCAGCGAGCCTGACCACACGATCCCGTTCGTCGCTTCTTACGACAAGCATGGGTTACTGAAGGTACATTCTAACCCGGACCTTCACGGGTCGCAGCCATGGTGAAATAGATAAAGCCCTTATTAACATAATGACTCGTCTCGGGGTTTTCAACCGTTAAAGTAAATGTAAAGAACTCTGATGCCATGGATCTTCGCTCTTGTTTTCTGTCTCCGGTTTGCATGGTCAAGATAAACACTTACTGTTCGGACGTATAGATGAATTATTGCTGACACCGGCGTTTTACGACACTCACGTTGTGACGGTATACTACATTTGTTTGATAATGTTACGTCAAGAGCATTGTGACGTGTATGCGTGCGTCCGTGTGTGCGTGCTAACCATTTGATACTGAATGTCGAATGGTTTGCGATTCAGATACTCTCTCTCTTACCTAACACCAAATCCAACCAATATTCAGTTTCTTAGAGTTTATTACAGCTCATGTCCCAGGTTGTCTTTAAGCATTTATGGTCTTGTCAATCCACTGCCGGGCACTCACGGTACTGGAGTAAACAGCTGGTGAGTTTGGTTCTGCACAGCCAAATCCCCAGCTAACGGTACCTGCACGATGAAAATGAGTTGTATGCACATTCAGTCTTTGAATTTTTACAAAAATATTTACAAGTACAGATGTGTGTTACGTTAGTGAATAGTGAAGCACGGTCATTCAACTCATGTTTGACAAAGGTTCAAATAAATAGGAGCCAGTAAATACTTCTTTGAATGCTCTTACTGCTCACGTTTAATGTTTTTGGAGAGGAGTTGGCATATTAATTATCTTTAGCATGTGCATTGCGTTACTATCCGTCGTTAGTTTTTTGGTAACAGCCTATCGTATAGGATGTAAGGTACAATCAATGTCAGCCTTCTATCTTTGCGAGAAAAACATTCTTTTCGACTGTTGACTTTTGAAATAGATTTTGAAAGTATTCAAATAGGAATTTCAATAAACATACCGATAATTTCCATACGGCTGTTGTGATAGCACATTAATGGCCCTCCGCTATCCAGCTGAAAACAGATGTTGAAAGTCTTGAACAAGAACGTCAGAGTTAGAGAACCACTTCATATGTCATACATTTGAGTTGTTCCGAAGTTTGTAAAGTTCTGATATATTTACTTACACGTGTAACCAATAGCCATAAAAGGCAGGGTCGAAACTCACTGCATGAAACCCCAATAAGTGACAAACCACGAGAGTCTGATGTATAAGGGTCATGAAAGTGTGTATGTTGTGTGTCGTGTCAGCTGTGGGAACCAGATACAGGGCAACGACAGAACAAAACAGCCATCATGCACTTGTCTGGTAGTCCTGGAGGAACACCAGGTGTTTGCGGCATGGTTAGCTGATGGATTCCATGGTCTACCTGTCTCTTGATCACGGACGAGTACACGGACGTGCTCTATACCCATTCATTCTCCCACAAGTTCCGGTAATATAGGGCCAGCTAACCTAAGGAACATTTGTGTTGTGGAAGATGATGTCAGCAGATGATAAGCTGGGTACAGGTGATGCATAGGGGCGTAGTTAACACAACATTTGTGTTTAGTAGTAACTTGGGGATGAATGAATGCAGATAGAACACTATAAAGAGCAACATATGTTATATTTGGGATTACACCGTCTTAGTAAAGTACAAATTCTAGTACTTTTTGAGTTGAGTCCCATCCGGGATTCGAACACACACCCTCAGAGTCAGGCACCTAATCGCCAGCACACAAAGTCTACCGCCTAACACACTCAGCCAACGCGACTTCCACTATAAAGAGCGCCAAACCCCATGATGGAACTATACCTTGTGTTTCTGAAAAACATTTACATTTTTATACAGGTTCACAGTGAGAAAGATATCCCCAACTGTCCCTCTTCATAATAATGACAGTATAAATAGTCTCTTTATTGCAATGTATTCAAAGCACCAACTAATATCTCGAGGACGTGAGGTCGGGGAAGTGCTGGTGGAGCTCCTGTGCATAGAGCTCGGGTCACAAATCAGTTGAAGTTAAGCAACGTTGAGCGCAGAGAGTTTGCGGATGGGTGACCGTGTTGGGCAGCTTGACTCCTGAGAGTTTCTAGGACTTCAGTCCTGCCCCACAACGAAACACAGAAAATTGTGGTGCATCAATGAGCAGCGATCCGGGTCAGTACATGTACCCTCAACCTCTACATGAGGTTGTCTAAACCATTAGCCTTGTCTAAATGAAAGATATATGCTGCATGACTTGTTTGCATATCACTGTTCCTTGACCGAGTTGCGTCTTTCTCCCAGTATCATTCAGATCAGGTCTTGTTTGATGGTTGATTACTACTCGAGTGGTCAGGCTCGCTGACTTGGTTGACACATATCATCGTTTCCCCAGCTGCGTAGATCAATGCTCATGCTGTTGATCACTGTTGATTATCGGGTCCAGACTCGATCATTTACAGACCGCCGTCATATGGCTGGCATATTGCTGAGTGCGGCGAAAAACTATACTCACTCACTCACTCGTATACTTATATACTCGTATACGTATATCTGGTGCTAGTTTACAAACCTTGCAAGAATCCTTCCCTCCTTGTGGATAGCCTGCACACAGCATTGATGAGTTGCGAAAGTCAGTACCATAGATACCTTCACATGTTTGCTGGGACATGATTGGCTTGTCCACTACTTGCAGCATGTCTGATGGGGCACTTTCTGCAATTACAAGAAAGGCCACGATGACAAAATAAACATTTACACGTACTCCATAAACTGTACTCCATAAAATCCTTCAAGTGTAATAGATACATAGGTTTTTTTCTCTGTTAACAGTCTAACACTAAAGCACTATTCGGATAAGGGAATGTCGTTTTTCCTGCCGCACTCCACGAACACTGACTGGTGTCAAATCCACATTTAAATCTCCCGTGTTCCCGTGTTATTACTAAACAGGATCCTCTAGAACAAAGCTTCAACCATAATACAGTCGAGCACCGTTGTCTCGATATCCATAGGACCAAGGTAAAACATATCGAGTTATCCGAACTTCGAGACATCCGACCAGGGTATATCTTCACATATCATTATGACAGAAAACAAAACAAAAAGTAGATTTCATATATATTTACACTACCGCATCCCTTTGATTCATGTCGCACCGTGTGTAAACGTGTGGAAACAACCTCAGAGGGGTATTGCCCATGAAAGGTAGGTGAATATCGAGTTTCTTTGCAAATATCGAGTTAAAAGGGTAAGTTTGCTTGTTGCGACGATGGAATTATATCGAGATATCCGAAATATCGAGACATCCGTATCGAGTTAAAAGAGGTTGAATAATAATAAATTATGAGGGATTTTGCTGGGACAGAGATGTTATATTGAGACAACCGAGATATCGAGTCAACCGAGATATCGAGTTGACAGAGTTCGACACAACGGTGCTGGACTGTATATACAAGTGGTACATGTCCCCTTGTGTCGGAGAGGCTTGACAGATCCCCCTGCAACAGAACTGCAAATGTGTTGAAATAACACTGACTTGTCAACTAAAAAGCAGTTCCATGAATTATTTTTAAATCCTTTTAGCGAGCAATTTAAGTACCTGATATCTACGTTCGACATAATTGCAGAGTTGTCTTTACATGTTTGTGACCATACCTACGGATGTGGTACCCCATCCAATAACATAGCATATGGTTCCTGATGACGGCTTGTTGGCGGCAACACAGCCGAAGTTGATTTCTGGCCGTTGTATTTGTGGAGGAACAGCAAGTTCCATCAAACCCGTGTCATATTCCAACGTGATAGGGTTGAATGACGGATGGTTCATTGTTTGCTTAATGGCGATGGTCTCGGATGAAGCTTCATTTTTGGATAAATCATGAGCACCAAGGACGACTTCCAAATCAGATACTACTGCTCCACTGTACAACAGAACACGTTTTAGGTAATCTTTAGTAAAGTAAACAAATGCTAATCGTCATGATTCCCCCTTTCCACATTGCACATATGAGAGACGTTTTGCTCCTTATTACAGAACATGAGCCCCAAAAATGAGTAACTTTGCTTTCCTGCATACATTGATCCCAGTGCACTTCCTGCAGACAGCAAGCCCTTGTTAGTCTCTACAATGCACTTACTGCAGACAGCGAGCCTTTGTTAGTCTCTACAATGCTCCTACTGCAGACAGCGAGCCCTTGCTAGTCTCTACAATGCTCTTACTGCAGACAACGAGCCCTTGTTAGTCTCTTCAATGCACTTACTGCAGACAACGAGCCTTTGTTAGTCTATACAATGCACTTACTGAAGACAGCGGGCCCTTGTTAGTCTCTACGATGCACTTACTGCAGACAGCGAGCCCTTGTTAGTCTCTACAATGCTCTTACTGCAGACAGCGAGCCCTTGTTAGTCTCTACAATGCACTTACTGCAGACAGCGAGCCCTTGTTAGTCTCTACAATGCACTTACTGCAGACAGCGAGCCCTTGTTAGTCTCTACAATGCACTTACTGCAGACAGCGAGCCCTTGTTAGTCTCTACAATGCACTTACTGCAGACAGCGAGCCCTTGTTAGTCTCTACGATGCACTTACTGCAGACAGCGAGCCCTTGTTAGTCTCTACAATGCACTTACTGCAGACAGCGGGCCCTTGTTAGTCTCTACAATGCTCTTACTGCAGACAGCGAGCCCTTGTTAGTCTCTACAATGCTCTTACTGCAGACAGCGACCCCTTGATAGTCTCTACAATGCACTTACTGCAGACAGACCCGTGAAGATCCGGGTTACAAGTGGGGTTCAGTAACCCATGCTTGTCATAAGAGGCTTGTCGTCAGACTCGCTGACTTGGTTGACACATGTCATCGGTTCCCAATTGCGTAGATCGATGCTCATGCTGTCGATCACTGGATTGTCTGGTCCAGACTCAATTATTTACAGACCGCCGCCACATAACTGGAATATTGCTCAGTGCGGCGTAAAGCTAAACTCACTTACTCACTACTGCCGACAGCGAGCCCTTGTTAGTCCATACAATGCACTCACTGCAGAAACCGAGCCCCTCATAGTCTATACAATGTACTTACTGCAGACAGCGAGCCCCTCATAGTCTAAACAATGTACTTACTACAGACAGCAAGCACCTCATAGTCTATACAGTGCACTTACTACAGACAGCAAGCACCTCGTGGTCTATACAATGTACTTACTGCAGACAGCGAGCCCCTCATAGTCTAAACAATGTACTTACTACAGACAGCAAGCACCTCATAGTCTATACAATGTACTTACTACAGACAGCAAGCACCTCATAGTCTATACAATGTACTTACTACAGACAGCAAGCACCTCATAGTCTGTACAATGTACTTACTACAGACAGCAAGCACCTCATAGTCTATACAATGTACTTACTGCAGACAGTGTGCGCCCGTGAGTATATACCACTTGTTAGAGGAACCCTTCAGAAGAGACCCTCCACACTGGAAGACCCCTCGATACTTCAAAGCAACCTTTGATGTAAGAAACGTGTAAGATGAAAACTTGATGAAATCAGTGTCTGAGGATATACATACGCCATGGCCTTGCAGCCCTGCCATTATTCAACTAACAAATAATCAATAGTTTCCTTACCAGACACACTAATACATACAAATACATTTGTAGAGCAACTGGTATCCATCACAAAGATCCTCGGTGGCGCTATCACAAGCTTAGAACGGGTCAAAGCGTTGATGTACAGTACAACGACGGTTGGCTCAGAAAATTCCAGGCCGGTGGCGTTGCCTAGTGGTTAAAGCGTTCGATCGTCACGCCGAACACCCGGGTTCAATTCCCCACATAGGTACAATGTGTGAATTTCTGGTGTGCACAGAGTGCGATATCTCTTCAAATCTCGTTGTTTTAATGTAATATCTCTTCCACCTTATTTGTTTCCAGCGTGTCATAATGTATTGTTCCACCAGAGTATTGTTATACAATATCCGTTTCACCATTCTGTCAGTTATATTCCAGACTGTGTTGACTCTACCAGTGTGTTTAATGCAATGTTCCTTTCATCACGAAAATCATATGAGCGGATAAATGAAAATCATTGTAAGATATTACATTTCTTTGTTATAGATTTGTCCCTTCGTATTAGACAACAGAGCGAGTGATCTTAACTTGTGTACTTACCATCCATGGAAACGAATGAGGTGTCACTATGTTCCCTCCAACAATTCGTTTGTTGTTTGTTTTAGTGAGGGTTGAGTAATCAAAACCAACACTGTTTGTACCACAACCTTGAGGATCCAAATCCATGGCTGTCCCTGTAATTAAGTTTGTAAAGGCATATTATACGTACGCATCATGTTGCCATGATTGCACACAAGAAAGCATACCAAGTATTATCATAGAGTATGAGAACAGACGATGCATCTGTAATGGCCTTAGACGGTCGCAGTTGTTGTAAAGTGGACAGATATTGTACTTATAGGAAACTCCACGTCCACGAACCAAAAATGCAAACATGTAATCAAGTGCAAATGGGTAGGAGTAGCTCCGGTTTCGGAGATCCGTTCCAAAATGCAGTGACTTGATATCATGACAGTTCCATCTTCCATATAAGCACTGTTCCCCTATTAAATACACATTTATGAATGACTAACAATAATTTCATTGCTAGAAATCACGTTATCTTAGGTGATTCGTTTGCCGTGTCTTTGGCGCCACTGTAAAACTTTCAATACAGATAGCTCTCTGTCATAGACAACAAATCAGTAGTATGAATAACAGGAAGACTTCACTAGTAAAAAACCTGTAACAAGTAATGGTTACAATGACAGCATTACTTGTGTAACTAAAAGATTTAATTGTTCCGGATTGCGATCCACGTTTTTTTATGCCCAAGGGGCAAGGGAGGTAACTCCAAGAGTGGAAACTGCGGTTTACCCTGTGCTTCACTGCGGTGAAGATGACAAGAGATGTAGGCAGTTTAATGGGTTTGCAATTTGTCTTGAACCGACAACATGGAGGAAGACAAACATAAGAAACAATTAACAGTCCGATGTATGATCATAATATATAAGACTGGTTATCGCCCTTGAGTAGTCAAGTCGCACTCATTTGGCTCGTCAGAAAAATATATAATTATCCCTCAAAACAACACCAAAATTGTATGGGAACTAGATATACTCCATTATGGGGATATCTATAGAGCTGTGGCCTGCAAGAATCGGAAAGTTTGTGCATCCTAGAGGTGTAAATCAGATGGAAAACGTGCTACCCTACCAGCCGACATGCAAATGGACGCCAGGTATGGACATTGCATATCGACTCCTCCTATGTGGATCCCTCATACTTGCTATTTTGAGCGCTGGGATAATCCTAGAGGGTTATATCAAGGATTCAAACCTCACCACGACTCCACCGGCTTCAGCCTGTGCTACAGATGATTTTTGTGATGTTCTCTCAACATCTGTGACGTCAGTGACAATGTTTACATTTCGAAAACAGGACAGTCGTCACAACATGAACGTAAGTACTCTACCTAGTGGCTTTGTGATTTTCTCAAGGTTGTTAAGAGCCGGAGACGTAGAACTAAACCCTGGGCCTCCCAGTAGGGAACTAGAGGACATGAAAGCAGAGATTATTAAACAGATAAGAGACTTGGAGGGCAGATTGTCAAAAGATGTCAATCTCGGTAAAGGAGGACATAAAATCATTGAAAGTAGAGATGTCGGACATACGGAATGACCTTTTGATAAACAAACAGGAGCAGGAAGTACTAAGGCTTGATATCGATTCTATCAATGAAAAGGCAGACATAATAGAACACCGTGTGACAAAGATCGAGGATAGAATAGAGGATCAAGAGAGACGAAATCGGAGAAACAATATGATTCTGTATGGTGTATCCGACAGCAGGAACGAAACCTACACAGAGAGCAAAAGGAAAGTACTGGATATCATTAACAGCGCACGGGAGACAAAGAACTTACCCCATCTAGTCCCTAGGATGTAGAACGGGCCCACAGGCTATCGTCTTACGATCCCAACAAGACAAGGCCTATCATTGCTAGAATGTGTCACTGGGAAGACAAATGGCACTCCGTCAAGCTGAGAACTGTCCTGAAGGAGCGAGGTTACGGAATTGCTAACGATCTGACGAAATCACAGAGAAGTGAGCTTAGCAGGCTTCGAACCGAGAACCCGGAAACCAGATTCTACTTCAAGGGGAACCAGCTTGTGCGCGAAGCTAGGGAAACAGATAGCTCGCGAAGTGTCGACCCAACCGAGGACCGAGGACAAAATCCTACCCAAAGTAGGTCGCGACCATTGAGATCTACCTACCGTGCTGGGTCTCGGGGTCAGTCGCGCTAGGGGTGTGGCACGGGCCGACCAAATGTGCAATCTTGGACGCAATCTAGTGTGCGATCCGGGGTGTGTGATTGTAGGACACTTCAAGAGGACGAGAATGACATTGTATACAACACGAAAGACTGTAGTAAAAACATAAAATTCATATTCTGGACCATCTCGGGTATTACTCAGAAACTTCATGACATCGACTTTGGTACCTTTATCAAATCGTTTGATATCATTGGTTTAACAGAGACTTGGAGTAATGATCATTGTGCAAATGACGTATTTACAGATTTCGCCTGTTTGAATAAAGATGGAGATAAGATAGCCTCAACTGGGAGACTCTCTGGTGGAATAACTGTAATGGTAAGAAAAACACTAACTAAATATATCAAATGTACTGAGATCACAGAAAATGCAATTTTTATATTGTTTGAGAAGTCACTGTTTGACATCGATAGAGATCTTTTATATAGCTGTGTGTATATACAACCAGAGGGATCATCTTGGTATGAGAAATTTAGTGGACATTGTAAAATGGTATTTCACTTTTCCAGGAGAAACTGTTGGATAAAATGTCTGATCTACCAGATATATACTTGCTTTGTGGGGTGATTTTAATGCTCGGACAGCTACGCTTCCCGACTTTGTTGATGATGACATAATATATCATACGGAAAGTAAAGATCATTCCATGTGGGATTTCATATTGGATCATTTTAACCTTGAACGGTTCTCCTGTGACAAAGTCGTCAACCATTTCGGCAGATGCCTCTTAGATTTATGTAGCATTTTAAATATACATATTGTGAATGGCAGATGTGGTAAAGATTTTAAAGTAGGGATTTTACATTTATAGGTACAAATGGCAATGCGTCATAGACTATGTCTTAGCTTCTGCACATTTATTTGACAAAGTGCTAGATTTTGCTATACCTACTAAAGCAGAGTCCTCTCACCTCCCGTTAACCTTAGATTTACGTGCGCATCACCCACCAGTAGAGCCAAAGACTATGAGTGGTAAATATAAATCTGATCATGAAGCATACAAATTTGTTTGGAATAGCAAGATGTTGTCGCAATTCAGAAATAATCTACTATCGGATGATATACAAGACTTATTTGATAAATCTGTTGATGTAGCATTCACTGATATAAGTCAATGTGTAGATTATGTCGTAGAAGCATTGTGTCTAGCTGCTTTTGATATGAAAAGACGGATACGCCCCTTCTCAGAACAACATAATACGAATATCTGGTATGATGAAGAATGTAATCATTTAAAAAAAGAACGGTGTAAATTTCTTAACTCCTTCCGAAAAGATAAAACCTTGCAATCCCTGGAGAGATATCACAAAGCTAGAAACAGATATAATACAACCTGCAAGGAAAAGAGAAAGGCATTTATGGAACAGAAAAGAAAAAACCTAGAAAAACCTAGAAAATAATATAAATGATGCCAAAAAATTCTGGTATGAACTTAAAACACTAAATCCTAAGAAAAGCCAAAATAATAACATTGAAATCGACGAATGGTTCAATTACTTTCAGTCATTATTCTCAGCCTCTGATAACAACCCAGATCCAAATAGACAAGACTATGTGAACGATACTGAGTCTACTCATATTACAGGTGTAGCCCCCGACATATTGGATGCCCCAATAAGTAGAGATGAAATACTTAACAGTATACAACATCTAAAGTGTAACAAGTCACCAGGATTAGACAACATCCTCCCGGAATTTTTCAAACATTCATCTGATCTTTTACTTCCATATCTTGAGCTTATTTTCAATATTATCCTCGACACTGGGAACTTTCCTGAATCTTGGTCAGTTGGCATTCTTGTTCCAGTCTATAAACAGGGTGACCCTAAAGATACCAATAACTACCGTGGAATAACTGTACTTAGTATATTTGGCAAGTTATTTACTTACATTATCAACAAAAGATTAGTTAAATGGACTGACGTCATGGATCAGATATACGAGGGTCAAGCGGGCTTTAGGGAGGGATATACAACAACAGATAATATCTTTATACTGTATAGCCTAATACAAAGATACCTCAGCTCAAAAGGTGGAAAGTTCTACGCACTATTCGTTGATTTTGCAAAGGCTTTCGATTCTGTGCAGCGGGATAAACTATGGAGACTTCTACAATCGCACGGTCTTAGTAGTAAAATGAATAAAATGTTGAAGAGTATATACGAAAATGTTAAAGTGTGTGTAAGGAATCAGCATGACTTATCTGAACCTTTCATTAGTGAACTAGGTGTTAGACAAGGCTGTATTTTAAGCCCTTTCCTTTTTACGTTTTTCATTAATGAATTAGCAATACAAATATGTGACACATGTACGAATGGGATTCAACTACACCCAGATACAATACAACTATTTCTGTTACTCTTTGCCGATGATATTGTACTATTTTCTAGTACTGTTAGCGGTTTACAGAAACAAATAGATGAATTAGACACATTTTCTGACCAATATAAATTGTGTGTAAACAGAGACAAAACCAAAATTATCGTCTTTAAGAAAGGTGGCAAACTCTCTAAATTAGAAAAATGGTATTATAAAGGGCAACTACTCAAAACTACCAGTGTTTATAAGTATCTTGGTGTATATTTTTTGTAATAGTCTTTCCTGGTCCAAACACACAAAACAAGCGTCAGCACAAGCCTTGAAAATCCTAATCGGTGTTTGTAAAAATATGAGATCGTTGGGTGAAATGTCCTTTAACACATTCTTTAAAATATTCGATATGAAGATAAGTCCAATACTTTTATATGGCTCTGAGATATGGGGATTACAACAATATGACAGTATTGAAAGAGTTCATTTATATGCATGTAAAAAGGTTCTTGGTGTAAAACCGAACACATGTAATAGGATGGTTTACGGAGAATTAGGTAGATTCCCCTTGTTTATATACTCTTCCATTAAAGCCATAAAGTATTGGGTAAGATTACTGCATATGCCATGCCATAGGTTTCCGAAAAAAATGTTATGATATGATGAAATTGTATGACGAAAATGGGAAAAGGAATTGGGTGAGTGATATTAGGGAGTTGTTGTACAAAACTGGTTATGGTTATGTGTGGTGTGATCACAATGTTCAGTTGCATACCAATTTTATCATATCCTTTACACAAAGAATGAAAGATATCTATTTCCAGTCTTGGTCGGAATCACTACTTCTATCCACAAAATGTTTATACTATAACCAATGGAAATCGGACATACGTTTTGAAGACTATTTAGCAAAAATCGGCGTAAAGAAGTTCCGTATAGCTCTCTCTCGTTTTCGTTGCTCTTCCCATGAATTATTTATTGAAACTGGCAGGTATGCAGGCATACAAAGAGAAATCAGAATATGTCAGTTATGTAATATGAGTACTGTTGAGGATGAACTACATTTTCTTCTAATCTGTCCTGCTTATACGACTCTACGAACAAAATACCTAAAGCCATACTATTATAAACATCCAAGTGTAAGAACATTAATTTCACTATTAACAGATACTACCACATCAATATTACAGAATCTGGCAATGTACATCTATTTCGCTATGAGATTAAGAAAAAAGTATTGTTACAGAAAAGAATTTATAAATGATTTCTATCTACTCATGTAAACTCTAAATGTACTACAGGCCTGTGGCCTTTTAAGTACTGAAATAAAGATTGATTGAATATATAAGAAGTAAAGAAACGTCGTGTATAAGAATGAGCAAACCTTTCGTTATGTCTACAACAACTTGTGTACACTATCTTGCCTATGGTATCCACCTGGATGCTACATACCGGGAAGGCACTGTTTGTTCATTGAATTATATGTAGGCTGTATATGATTGACTTTAATTCAAATTCCGCGTGTCTGCGCGCGGCTTCATGGAGGCACGGCGGAGCGGTGGGGTGACCTAGTGGTTCAAGCGTTCGCTCGTCACGCTGAAGGCCCGGGGTCGATTCCCCACATGGGTACAATGTGTGAAGCCCATTTCTGGTGTCCCCCACCGTGATGTTGCTGAAATATTGCTAAAAGTGGCGTAAAACTATACTCACCCACTCAATCATGAAGGCACACCAATAGTGTCTGAACAACTTCATGTCTCATAAGTGTTGGGATTGTCAACATATCCGCACTTAGTACCCCTTTAACGACAATATAACAGCACGAGACATAGTTTTAAAATACATTGCACTATTAATATATATTATCTGTCTACCTTTATGATAAGAGAAATGAGGTCTTCTCACATTAGATTTGCCGCTGTTGTAATGTGTCACCTTACATATAAGAAGGAGTGGCATAAATAACATAGGCAGGTACCATGATTGTGAAAATCACAAATATTGCATAATTATACTTGTTTTTCCCTTACAAGCTCATAAAACATATTTATCCAGTAAACCGTACCAGATCCCTCAAATGGTCAGCCCAGATAATTAACACTGAGTGAGTGAGTTAACATTTTACATCGCAATATTACAATCAAATAGCGATGAAAACAAGGTAATCATTTTAAAATATCTGTCGACAAAGGACAGTAAAATAGGTGGGTATATCACAGTAGTTTTAAAATAAAACCAACCTGACCATAATTAAGATAAGAAGACAGTGAATTAAAAAGATTCATTCTTACCAATTAAAACCAGGCTATAAACCATTAACAACCAATGTTTGACCACCTTACTGGGGATCAAGGGGAATAACAGTGCTTATGCTTCCTACATGATATCCCAGCAAGAGATAATTAATAACATACGGAAACGAACTACAATTCGTCAAAGGCTGTCAGTAGTGTTCATTACATGTATGATTGCTAACTGTACCTTGTAAATTAGTTGTGTGAATATTTTGATGATGGATCAAATAATGAATTGTTTCCTAAACCAACTGTCAGAACAAATATCATCATAGAAGCCCAAGATCAAGTAATAGAGTGTAGTATAGTCTCTTACCTGTAAACAATGACCCCAATATGAAACCGAGTAATAGTGCCATAACTATGGACGGCTTGCCCCAGAACCTGAGACACCTCAACTCTTTAGACTTGGATTGCCTTCAGTTTTAGGGCAGATAAACTCACACGACAGATACAGATGGCCGCTTATTGTGCTGATTTAGCATTTTGTAACGTATATAGCAATTTTTCTGTTTAATACATAAATCATAAATTAAAACCAATTTTTTGGGTGTATGTTACGATATCAATCTAAGGTAATTAAAAACGATCAATTATACAGTTGGGGATATCTATCTCACTGTGAACCTGCATAAAAATGTAGATGTTTTTCAGCAACACAAGGTATAGTTCCACCATGGTTTGGCGCTCTTTATAGTGGAAGTCGCGGTGGCTGAACGGATTAGGTGGTTGACTTTGTGTGCTGGCGATTAGGTGCCTGATTCTGAGGGTGTGGGTTCTAATCCCGGATGGGACTCAACTCAAAAAGTACTAGAATTTGTACTTTACTAGGATGATGTAATCCCAAATATAACATATGTTGCTCTTTATAGTGTTCTATCTGCATTCATTCATCCCCAAGTTACTACTAAACATTAATGTTGTGTTAACTACGCCCCTATGCATCACCTGTACCCAGCTTATCATCTGCTGACGTCATCTTCCACAAAACAAATGTTCCTTAGGTTAGCTGGCCCTATATTACTGGAACTTGTGGGAGAATGAATGGGTATAGAGCACGTCCGTGTACTCGTCCGTGATCAAGAGACAGGTAGACCATGGAATCCATCAGCTAACCATGCCGCAAACACCTGGTGACTACCAGACAAGTGCGTGATGGCTGTTTTGTCTGTGGTTACCCTGTATCTGGTTCCCACAGCTGACACCACACACAACATACACACTTTCATGACCCTTATACATCAGACTCTCTTGGTTTGTCACTTATTGGGGTTTCATGCAGTGAGTTTCGACCCTGCCTTTCATGGCTATTGGTTACACGTGTAGGTAAATATATCAGAACTTTACAAACTTCGGAACATCTCAAATGTATGACATATGAACATATACTGGTCTTGGACGTTCATCGTGTATGTTTTTATACAACAACAGTGATGAAATGGCAGTGGTGACATGGATGGAATGGATACAGTATTGCTGAGTTCAAACCAAAAAGGAAGCAAATCCTACTCAGCTTACCCTAGGACAAGTGGTTCTCTAACTCTGACGTTCTTGTTCAAGACTTTCAACATCTGTTTTCAGTTAGATAGCGGAGGGCCATTAATGTGCTATCACAACAGCCGTATGGAAATTATCGGTATGTTTATTGAAATTCCTATTTGAATACTTTCAAAATCTATTTAAAAGTCAACAGTCGAAAAGAATTTTCTTTCTCGCGAAGATAGAAGGCTGACATTGATTTTACATTACATCCTATACGATAGGCTGTTACCAAAACAGCTAAGGACGGACAGTCACGCAATGCACATGCTAAAGATAATTAATATGCCAACTCCTCTCCAAAAACATTAAACGTGAGCAGTAAGAGCATTCCAAGAGGTATTAACTGTATTGTCAAACATGAGTTGAATGACCGTGCTTCACTATTTGCAAGCGTAACACACATCTATACTTGTAAATATATTTTTAAAAATTCAAAGACTAAATGTGCATACAACTCATTTTCATCGTGCAGGTACCGTTAGCTGGGGATTTGGCTGTGCAGAACCAAACTCACCAGCTGTTTACTCCAGTACCGTGAGTGCCCGGCACTGGATTGACAAGACCATAAATGCTTAAAGACAACCTGGGACATGAGCTGTAATAAACTCTAAGAAACTGAATATTGGTTGGATTTGGTGTTAGGTAATTAGAAAAAGTGAAAGAGAGAGAGTATCTGAATCGCAAACCATTCGACATTCAGTATCAAATGGTTAGCACGCACACACGGACGCACGCATACACGTCACAATACTCTTGACGTAACATTATCAAACAATTGTAGTATACCATCACAACGTGAGTGTCGTAAAACGCCGGTGTCAGCAATATTTCATCTATACGTCCGAACAGTAAGTGTTTATCTTGTCCATGCAAACCGGTGACAGAAGACATGAGCGAAGATCCATGGCATCTGAGTTCTTTACATTTACTTTAACGGTTGAAAACCCCGAGACGAGTCATAATGTTAATAAGGGCTTTATCTATTTCACCATGGTTGAGACCCGTGAAGGTCCGGGTTAGAATGTACCTTCAGTAACCCATGCTTGTCGTAAGAAGCGACGAACGGGATCGTGTGGTCAGGCTCGCTGGCTTGGTTGACACATGTCATGGGTTCCCATTGCGCATATCGTTGCTCATGTTGTTGATCACTTGATTGTCTGGTCCAGACTTGATTATTTACAGACCGCTGTCATATAGCTGTAATATTGCTGAGTGCGGCGTAAAACTAAACTCACTCGCTCACTATGGCTGCAGTCATATTCCGTCTCCATCATCCGCGGTATATCATCAGCTGCCCAGTACACGGGGAACAGTTTATTATAAACAATCAACGGAAGAGGGGACACTGTAACCGCAGATGGATTACACTCGTACAGCCAATTTTCAGTACCTGACCATAAATGTACTAAGCTGAACTTCAACATTGTCTCAGTATGGCTGTATGCCACGTTTTGGAATATTCAAGCAATACCACCGCGTCACACATTGTACCCATGTGGGGACTCGAAGTCAGGTCTTAGGCGTGACGAGTGACCTTTTTTATCACTAGTCCATCCCGTGCCCTTTCGTACAGAGGTTCTTATAGGAAACATAAAGTAATTTTGGTACACCAAACATAATTTTTAAATTTTTCATTTTTATCTTTAAAACAGTATTGAGAAAAGTACATTTGAAAGTATATGAAAAGCAGAGAATTTTTTATACTGTTTATCATTTGCTGTAATCGTTTTAAATTTGTACAAACTACAATAGTGCGAGTGCTTCTGTAGTTTCTATTACCATCGGAATCTGATATTGTTATTGATGAAAACCAGGCGGGAAGGGATATTCGACGGTGGATAACATGTTATAACTGTGTGGCATGATCCAGCTGGACTTCAAGACCAAATTGTGGAATTTCCGCAAGTCATGTGATCTAGCTGCCGATCACGTGGTACAGGTCAAGCTTTGGGACAAAATGGCGGCTGTCAACCGTGCCCTTGAGTGAGCCTCGCCAAGTTCAAAGTGCAATATCATCAATGTGGGGGTAAAACGATGCGCGTATGGCACTTGTAATAGTGACTCACGTTTCCACCATAAACCACATATGGCAGATGTGTTTTTTATTACATTTTCAAAGCCCACATCAAAGCCCGAGATGTGTGACCGCTGGATCAGAGCGTGTTCCCACGGTGATGATTTTGGCCGTCACAAGATCACCCAAGATATATATGTATGTCCCAAACACTTTGTTGATGGACATGGTCCTACAGGCGAACATCCTGACCCTATACCAGATACCGCTAGAGGTGTGGAACTTAGAATCTTCAACACGAAGAAGTCAAGACCACCACCTAAAGGCCGTGTGAGCTTGTCGCCAGAGAAGAAAAAAAGTCGTTCACAACTCCAGGTATAGCTTGGGAATGAAATGAAATAAAATGAAAAAAAAATACATAAGCGAACAGATAAATGAACAAATAAATAACTAAATTTTGAATAATTTTTAAAAAACTCTCTTTATAATAATTTATGATGTTCATAAAATATTAATTAATGGGTTCTTTGCAGGTACTCAATGTGGACATTGATAAGGAAAATGAAATAACTGAGGGTTCTGAAGAGCAAGATACAAATGTTGATAATGAAGGTATATCCATTGATTATATTACAGACAAGCTTTTAAATGGAATGTTTAGTTAATGAAATCCGGTTGGGTTTTTAGCACTCTTTATTGTCTGAAAAAGTTTGCAATTATAAAATTATAAGATGTTGTTTAGTGTATATTTTTGGACCATTTATCATCCGCACAGTTTTGTTTTTTACGAACATATTTTATTTTGCAGATGCAAGAAAACAGGTTTCCAATTCTGATGCAGCTACTCAGACTGACATCTTTGAATGATGATCTGGCTGGCTACAGTGATGATCAGCTCAAACAACCTAAACTTCTACAGGGAAAACTATTCATGGATGATGTTCTCAGAAGTGACAAATCATGCAAATTCTACACAGGTAAAAAATATCTGTTTCAAATCTATAATAAAGACATTCATTTTATGTTTTATTTATTGATAATATATTTTGCATGATATAGACCTTAATGTGTGTTTTAAAATAGTTATTTGACCAATATTTATAATTATTTCAGGTATTACATTCATCCAGCTTCTGTTGTTCCTGCACATATTCCTACAGTCCAAAGCTGAGAGGTTAACACTGTGGAAAGGGGAAGAAACAACAGTATGTATAGTTTATTGCTTTAATATTGCTTTTATTAATAACCACCTATATACTATCTCCTGACACATATACACTGTATGTAATTTGGTCACTGATCAATATGTCATTTGTTAACCCTTTCACAGGCAGTGCTGTAAAGTGCAACTGTTTACTAAATGGTCACTTGCAAATTATCATTGACTTCCTAGTAACAGTCATTGTGAAATATATTGATTAATGAACAGATCCACTTGACCATGTTAACTGATACATAATTACTTTTCAGGAGAATGCCAAAAACAAAGATGACCATCACCCCAGGGGACTGTCCACCTTCACAGCTTTCCTCCTAACACTTGTGCGCCTGAGACGTGGCCTTGATGTCGACCACCAAAGCCAAGGTATAATGTACAAAACAGTACCTCTCCCAGGCCCCCACTATTAAAGCATCATTTGTATCGATGGCTGACCGTGAGGATGTTTTCAGACCCAGATCAGCCCTCAATGGATCACAAATGAACATACCAAACATACCTACCTACAGCATGAAGAGGATAAGATCCTTTGTCAACAAAAAAGCATATGAACTAAGATCACAAGACAAAGTGTATACACAAATACGAACTAAAGGACTGACTTTGTTCTAGAGAAAAAACTCCAGGCTTTAGAACAAAGTCATAATTGTATCACAAGTTAAAAAGATTATCATGAATAATCATATTAATGATAAGCATGTACTAGTAGCATTCTGAATAATAGTATATGTCTGGAATGAAAAAAGAATATAGACTAAATATAAATCACATATTAAGTGGCCAACTAAACACAATATCAAAGTTACATGTATAAACAAAGATCACACTGAAATGAACAAGGCAACTGTACGTGCACCAGGCGCACGCCACCACTCTAGCAGGTATACCCGCGCTAAACATCAAACCCAGGACAACTGAATTACAAAATTCTGCCATGCCTCGACCTAAACTACTGCAGGATAACACATGTACAGGACTCCCAACAAACAAATGAAGGTAACTCTCTGCCTTATAGTTCTATTTGTTGTTAGATCTTCCTCTCTACTTGCACCTCACAATCTTCTCCATGTACTAATTGATATACACAACATCAGTCCATTCATAACAGTACAGACTCAATACCCACCATGATGCTTGATGCATTAAAAATTCTATCTTCAAACTGCCAAGGCCTGAATAATAAGCACAGTGCACAGACGTATTTCCATCTAAAAAGCAAAAGAGCTCATATATATTGTATCCAAGATACTCATTTTACAAAAGAACTGGAAATCAAACTTATTAAAAATCAAAATATTGTTATTTTAGTTCATTTAAAAGCAATGCCGGAGGAACAGGAATACTTCTAAATAATAACATTGAAGACTCTAGACATGATGTAAATGGAAACTATGTAGCACTGAAATTCAAAATTATGGATAAGACATTTACTTTAGTAAAAACATATGGACCAAACACACAGCTTCTCCATATGCGGTGATTGGAACTTTGTACAAGACCCAAACATTGATTATTTCAGCTTTAAAACATTAATAATGGAGGACATACACATGGAGACAGAAACCCCCCGTCAAACAGGCAAGACTAGATTACGTTATCATATCCAAAAACCTCGAAACCTTAATTCACGATACCGGCATTGACGCAGCATATAGGTCTGACCATTCTATAATTAAGATTAATCTAAAGATAAGCGAAATAGAAAGTGGCAAAAGCTACTGGAAATTCAACAATTCTTTACTCTACGATAACAATTATGTGGAAAATACTGATAAATGAAATCAAAAAACAATTCAAATCATACGTAGATGAAACAGGGAAATATGCTTTCAAAATAAACGATCAATAAAATAAACGTTATTCTTTAAAGCTCTTCTGTTAATGATCAGATGACATGCAATAAATTATTCATCCTATAAGAAAAAAGAACATATGAAATTGCAACAAACGCTTGAAAACAACATAGATGAACTTTAAAAGAAGCAAACAGAGAATTAGAGACTGTTAATAAACAGGAGACAGAATGAATATTAATGCGATCTAAAGCCAAATGGAAAGAAGAATGAGAAAAACCGACAAAATATGTTTGTCATTAGAAAATAGAAACGTTTAAAAAAAAAGCAATGTATAAACTTGAAAACAACCAAAAAGAAACACATACCAAAAAGAGGATCTTATAACTGAAACTAAATCGTTATATCATAACCTATACACAAAAAACATGCCAAAAAGTGAAACAGAATTGTTTAAAAACATTCACGTCCCAAATCTATAAAAAATCAACAAGAAAATCTGGAAGGAATATTGAAATATGAATAAGTATTAAACAGTCTTTAAAAAATGAAAAAGTACTGGTTCATTCTGCAAATTCTTTTGGTTCAGTATTCACGAGTATCTTATAAGATCATTAAATTTAGCTTACGAGAAAGGAGAATTGTCTTTGACTCAAAAGTAAGGTATTACAACCTGTTTTTCGAAAAAAGGTAAATCTAAACATTTGTTTCAGAATTGGAGACCAATTTCATTGCTGAATGTCGCATATAAAATCGGATCATCAACCATTGCAAAGAGAATAAAAACAGTCCTACCCTCTATAATAAATGAGGACCAAAAAGGATTTATTGGTGAATGTACTCGCCTAATATACGACATCATTGACTATACTGAGTATATGAAGATACCTGAAATTCTAATTCTGTTGACTGGCATGTCATTCAAAAAGTTCTCTTATTCTTTAACTTTGGACCATCAACTACAAGATGGATAAATACCTTCGTAAATAACATTCAATAATGTGTAGTTGTAAATTGTTTCCATTCAATGTACATTTCGATATCTCAGGAGGATGCAGACCAGGTGATCCCATCTCCCCTTATATTATCATACTGTTCGCAGAAATTTGGCAACAACGATTAGACATAATAACAAAATGAAAGGATTACTAATTGGAGATACAGAATACCGAATTTCCCAATACGCTGATGGTACTTTAATATTAGATTAAACTGAAAAATGTTTACAGTCGACATTAGAAAATCTTAGTAAATATGCCTCATTTTCAGGCTAAATAATAAATGTAAACAAAACACTGGCGGTATTATGGATAGGCTCAGAAAAAAAATCAAAAAGAAAATTTTGCAGAAACTGGAATCTAGATTGGAAGAATGGCTCGTTTACAGTATTAGGAATTGCAGAAACATCGCAGAAATGGTTGAACGCAAATATAAAGATAAACTCAAAACTCTCAAAATATCAATGAATCAATGGTTACCAAAAGATCTAAGTCCCTTAGGTAGAAATACCATATTGAAAAGTTTACTTTTACCGCAACTTAATCATTCATTTGTAACTCTACCCAACTCTATGACCAAATGATTTAGGAAATTGAGCAGCTTTGCTATAAATTTATATGGAAAAACAAACCAGACAAAGTTAGTGGAGACACTATCACATAGAATCATGAACATGGTGGAATACGAGCCCCAGAGATAATAAATCTCATTCAATCACAAAAAATATCATGGATTATAAGACTAACCCTAACTCCTTTTCAAAAATATGAAAATTGCTGCAAACCAAGACACATTGCTACATCGACAGCTTTATACAATCATGCGAAACATACATACTTGAATCAGCTGTAATAACACAACAAACAAATCACTTTTGGAGGACACTTTGAAATCATGGGGTACATTCGAAACCAGGAGAGCAGAAAACGCAAAAAATGCATGTGATGTCTTTTCCCAACCCTTACAATCAACTATAAACATTACTCAAGTAAAGGGATTACTTATGTAAACGACATGTTTGATACCGAAGGTAATGTTTTCACGGTGGAACATTTTACAAAATATAGAAGGGAACACAAAATGATGTAGAGATATTTATGACATACTCATCAATGGAAAATCTAGAATTGTAGCCAAAAGAACTAAATGAATCTATTGACGATAACACATGGTAAACGATAAATCGTATAATAGTGTAAAACACTCTCAGTTTCAATACAGTATACTGCACAGGTTTCTGCCAACAAATGATTTACTAACAAAAATGAAAAATAAAGATTCTAATACATGCACATTTAGCAAATCCGGAGAGAATCAATTTTACATTTACTTTGTGACTGTAAAGTCATAAAAACTAACTGGAAGAAAATAGAAGAATGGATATTCGAAAAAACAGGGTCAATTATTATCTTTTCAAAGAAAAACATTATTATAGGATAAGGCGAAAAGAGAAACCATGTTCTGAATTTGATAATAACAGTAGTGAAATACAATATGTACCAAATGAAACAAAGAGATAAAATACCAAATTAGAAGTATATTATAGAAGACATTAAGATAGCATACTACGCTGAACGTTTTAATGCCTACTCAAATTGCAAACATGACAGTTTCACAAAATTTTAATCATTATGCCACAATCTGTTCAGTTAATCTAGTGTTATATATAATATACTGCTATTATATTTTCATGTACCTATTCATTTCAACCTGAATGTACAATTGCCTTTAAATCGACTTTGTATAGATTTGTGAATCGTGTTTATACCAACCTGTTATGTAATAAACTACCTGTATGGCTTGGATGTATTGAGATTCAAAAATACTTTATTTTTTTAAAAATACACATGACACAGCCTCTTTTGCTTACGACGGCCAGGAGTCAGGACAACATTGTCTGTGTCGCTAACCGTTTTGTCAACAATATATGGACCCTCATATCTAGCTCTCAGTGGTTGATCATGAATA